AGTTCCAACAACATAACACAGAATTCTTTTAATAGCTCTGAGATGATGCTTGCTTGGGCTATGCATAAACCTAGATACTACACCTATAATAAAGGTAATATCTGATTGAGTATGAGTTAGATAAATCAAACTTCCAACCATACTTCTGTAGTATCTTACATTTGTTAAATATATACAATCTTCAAGTTTCAATTTCTCATTTATAATTATGGTTGTTGCTTCAGCTTTGTAATTAATCATGTTAGATTTTTTGAGTAGATCCTTTGTGAAAGAAAAATTTCATATGATCCTTGCTTTACTTCCAACCCAAGAAAATAATGTAGTAGACCTAGATCTGATATTTCAAACTTATTCATCATGTATTTTTTAAATTCTGTTACAAAAGAGTTAGATGAACATATATATATAATATCATCAACTAAAGGTAAGCCATTAGAATATTATGTTCATCTTCCTTCTTTAGATAAAGAGTATGTTCATTATTGCTCCTCTTAAATTTATTTTGATAAAAATAATAATCAATTTTACTGTATCATGCCTTTGGAGATTGTTTAAGCCCATAAAGAGTTTTCTTTAGCTTATACACATTTTCATTATGTCCTTTAACCAAAAAGCTTTTAGGTTGAATAACAAAAACCTCTTTATGTAAATCTTTATTTAAAAACATAGATTTCACATCAAATTGATAAACAGGCAAACTCAAGTGAACAACTAAAGCCAATAAAGTTCTCACGATTTTGAATCTAGTAACCGGAGAAAAAGTATCATCAAAATCACTACCTTGTTATTGTGAATATCCTTTTGCTATAAGCCAAGCCTTATACTTTTGGATACTTTCATATGCATTAAACTTTGTTTTGAACACCCATTTTAATCTAATAGCTTTCTTTTCTTTTGGTAGATTCATTAGTTTCCAAGTTTCATTCTTCTCAATTGACTTGATTTCCTACTTTATTGCTTTTCGTCATTTCTCTTTTTCAACCGCTTCCTCAAAAGTTATAAGATATGAAATAAACAAAGTAAATGTTGAGTCATAAATTTTTGTTAGTGATCTGAATTTTCTTGGAAGCGTTTCATATGAGGAATCAAAATTTGAACTGCCATTGGGTGAGATTGACGATGAACTTATTGGAGCAGGATCTGTCACTTGATTCTATAGAGTATCTAATTCTTTTGGAATATAAATTTATGTTCCACCTTCATTATTCTCCCAATTCTAACTCGCCCTTTCATCGAACACAATATTTTTTATTAATAATAACTTTACCACTAACATGATTATATAATCGATATGCTTTGGATTATAAGGAATAACCAATTAAGATATATTTTTCAGATTTTTCATCAAGCTTGTGGTGGTTTTATGAATTTATCAAAGTATAAGCAATACAACAAAAAATTCTTAGATGACTTACACTTGGTTTCATATCATACCAAGCCTCAAAAGGAGTTTGTTGGTGAAATATTTAATAAAAAAACTACTGTTGCAATTGCTTCTACCCAAAACTGAAAGATATTTTCCTTTAAGCAAACTTCTTATCATTTCAACGATAGTTCGATTCTTACGTTCAACTATACCATTTTGTTCCGGTGTATATGGTGCTATCAATTCTCTACGAATACCATTTTCTTCACAAAAAGAATTAGATTCATTAGATAAAAATTCACCAGCTCTATTTGTCCAAAGTGTCTTTATGTATCTACCACTTTGCCTTTCTACAAATGCCTTGAATTTTTAAAAATTATCAAATATTTTAGATTTCAGTTCTAGAAAATATACCCAACTCATGCGGCTATAATCATTAGTAAACAATAGAAAATATTGACTTCTACCGAATGATTTTATATTCATAGGTCCACATAAGTCAACATGAATTAATTCAAGACAATTAGATGCTCTCCATGCTTTTCCAATAAGAAATGATTTTTTTACTTTGTTTGTCATAAATGCATCATTCACATATATCAAGTGTATTAATTTTAGGTAATCCGAAAATTATTATTTTTATTTAACAACATTAAACCCTTAATGTTAAGATGTTCATATCTTCAATGCCATAAATTAGACTTATTCTTTTTAGTTATAACAAGAGCATGCTTTTCAATATTTGAAACATCAAGTGGAAACATCTTATTTTGCATCATGTAAATATTTACTATAATTAAACCAGATTTTTTATCTTTAATAGTGCATGAACCATCATCAAATATAATTAAATATCCATCATCTATCAATTGTCCAACACTCAATAAGTTATGTGATAAACTAGGAACAAAAAAAATATTATCAAGGTATTTTACCTTCCCTCAACTTGTCTTCATCTCAATTATTCCTTTCCCTTCCACTTTGATTTGCTTGTTATCTCCAAGTTTAACTTTCAACTTATGAGTTTCATCAATATTTCTAAAAATTGATCTTATGCCTGATATATGATTAGAACATCTACTATCCAAAAATTAAATATCATTTGAGATATCATTAACTTATGAATGAGTCATAAACAACTTACTATTTTCTTCATTTTCCTCCACATAGTTTGCTTGCTTTTCTCTTTTCCAGCAATCTGCCTTCATGTGATCAAACTTTTTATAATAGTGATATTGAATTCCACTCTTGTAATTTTGTTCCTCTTCCTCTTCCTCTTTCATTTCCTCTACCACGAAATCTTCCTCTATCATGTCCCCTTCCTATTGATTTTTTATCTTCTTTTGAAGTAGAAGACTCATTCTTAACTTTAAATGCTTTTTCTTCACTATTTTCAAGTGACATATTCAACCTTGCTTCATGTGCTTACAAAGAACCCATTAGTTCATCAAATAAAAATATGGATAAATCTTTTGACTCATCGATTGCAGTAACGACATGATCAAATTTCGGAGTTAAACTTCTCAAAACTTTTTCAATAATTATATGATCATGAATGAAGATGTTCACCATAAGATTTCATTTAACTAACAATTTCAGTCACTCGAGAAAGAAAATCTTGCACCGATTCATTGTTTTTCATAAACAAAATTTTAAACTCACAATGAAGGGTTTGAAGTTTTACCGTAATCACCCTTGATAAGCCTTAAAATTCATTTTGAAGTATCAACTAAGCTTGCTTTGAGGTTGTCGTTGTTGTAATTCTTGAGAAGATTGTCTCGTGTACAACTTATTGAATGAAGAACAATGCCTTTGAGTCATTCTTTCTATTCTCCCTGGACCTGAATTTTTCATTTGGATCTGCATATCCATTCTCTATTAAGTCCCAAAGATCCTGAGATTTGAATAGAGTCATTCATCTTGATACTCTAAAATTCATAGCATTTGTCCGAGAAGATAAGAATAAGGAGTTGAGACATGGAATTGTCAATGGAATCCATAATGCCCAGTTTAGATTAAAACCTGGCTCTGATATCACAAATGTTCGGGATGAAGTAAGAAAAAAATAAAAATAAAATACTATGATGTAATTAAAAAGAATCCTTTGAATTAAAAAAACCGATATAGTATTTAAATAAGAGATAAGACATAAAACACATACAAGATATTCCTAAATACACACTCTTCATCTTGTTCATGCACAATGATCCTATTTATAGAACCTAATGGTAATTACCTAACTCCATCATATCATACATGATTAAGTTAGGTATAAAAACTATCTTATAACTTTTAGATCATGGATTACTATTTAGAACATGTTTATAATTACCTAGATAATTACTATAAATCAATTCCTAACCCTTCTCATCCACACAATTACTGGAATCACTTCATAGTTGTGCTACTAACTAAAGTATGTTTCTTTCATAAACACTAACAAACATTTCCACTGTGTTTTACTCTCTCCTCTCTCTTCCCTGCCTTGAATCCATTTCTCCCTCTTCTGACTGACATGGTTTTTCACAACTGCACATGCATATAACCATCCTGGTATAGCTGATTAGCTGCTATAAACAACCCTGTACCACTTCTGTACCAAAAGGTACTTTTGCTGTTGTCCTTTTGCCACCCTGGGTGTGCAGGCAGGTTCTTCTCTCTTTTTCTCTCACTCTCTCTCAAAATGCTCAACTGGCCTACTGGGCTAGTAGGCTGGTTCTCTTAGCTCCTTTGCTGTTGTTGTGTCTATCCAGTTAATGTCACTTGTGTTGGATTCTTCTGCTTTGGCCAGAAACCAAGTGAGTTTGGTTCCCTTCTCTCTTCTGAGCCTGGCATCATGCTGGGCAGGTCATGCTCAAACTGCTTCCAGGATCTCAACTCAGTGCTTGCTCATTGTCTACAGTGTTGGTTTCAATTGCTGGAAGGTCATCAGCAGGTAGTTTCTTAACTAGGATAAACTTTGTGAAAGAGAGACACTGCAAAAAGCAGTCAAACTTTTGAAATCTCTCTCTCTCTCTCTCTCTCTCTCTCTTCATTTCTCTGTGTTTAGTTATTTGCATCACTCAAGATTCCATGTCTCTTTCAAATTAGTGTTCACCTAATGCTAAAAAGTGTTACAGCTACAGACTATCAGTCACACCTAAAGCATCTCTTCTTTGAGTGTCTTTCTCCATTTAGGACAAAGAAATTGACACTCGAACAGCATGCTTTTGAAGATAACCATTTCCTTGACAATAACACAAAAGCAATGCCATCTCCTTGTAGATCCTAACACTTCAAGTCCATTCTGTCCAATTCTCTATCATCTCTTAACCTAATCCCAGAGAAGAAGTAGAAGTCCTAACTAAGCAAGTCTTATTTTTAACTTTGTGTAAACCATCGATCGACATGGTTTATTACAAATAGAAAGATTGTTTCCATGACTCAAAAGTTTAAACCGCGAGGGACGTCAGCACTACATGAACTTCCATAGTACCTTGAAACTACTCCTATCAAAGTAGGATCAAGTTTTTTTTAACTATCAGACATAGAGATCTAATGTATGAGATGGTGGATTTGTTTAGGTGTTTGTGTTATTTAATTGGCTAAGTTCAAAAAGTTTTACATAAAATCATACTCAATTGGAACGATCGCATGACAAAGAATCTAAGATTAGATTAATCAGGTGATATCGGCTGCAAGGTATGCATCGAAATGCTATCCCAAAATTCTTTAGGATGCTTTGATGACTGATGTTTTTCTGTTTATCTTCACACGGTCTCGGCTGGACCTCTTCCGAGAAATCTACATGTTGATATAGTTACACTCATAGAATGCTTGTGCATCTTCCTAAGTACATCACAGCCTCAAGCATCATGTGGAATATATTCCATCTGAGGAGCTTGTACTGCATCATCAGAACATTATTGACCTCAGATCTTGGATCCTGCAGGAGAAGTCCCTGTCCATGGAGATCCTCGGTGCTTTAAGATGTGCATGTGACCTCAAGTTGAGGAGAGTAGTCCAGTCGAGCTGCTCCATTCTCTCTGCACCATTTGTATGTAAGCTTTGGTGTAAGCATGTGGAGGGAACGAGCAGAGTTGCAGTATGACAGATCGATTAGCAAGAAGAAGAAGAAGGAAGAGACCGTGTGATGGAGATGTGTGTGTGTTGTGTATATTATATTACATGTATGTCTTGGAGACAGGGAAATAGGGTTTCGGAGTACTTGATGACGGATGGGCTTCCTTCCCTAACCTTGAAAATTCCCTTTGGATGTCACACAAAGCTGCTCAGACCTCGGAAGGGTAGAAAGCTGGCAACCCTCTGAGCCAAAACACTTGGGCTCTCTTCTTGCTTGCACTGCCACCAACAAAAGCAAGGCATACAAGTATGGTGGTATAGGAGCCCCTCCAACCCAGCGGAGGGAGCTGCTGTGCTCCACCATGCAAGAGATAATGAGAGAGAACGAACAGCAGTAGACCACTCGAAGAACACCTGAAGAGAGACTTGGAACGGAATGGTTTCAGATTGAGGCGTCAAATTGAGCTTTGAACTCGTGTTTGATCGTTGAACTCGATTGTGGCTTCGTTGTAGGATGGAGGAGTTGTTGAGAACAGCGAAGCTGTTGTTGATATCACTGGCTGTAGGAGATGTCGGTGTGATGATCAACTGACTGCATGAGAGGAGATGGGAGCTCCCAACTCTTGCAGCGAATGATGCGGACGTCATTTGAGCAAGTTCAGCAGAAAGACCAGAAAGAGAAGGGAGAGATTTGAGATGTTACAGAGCATTCTTGCTCGTGATCATGTTGTTGTTCTTTAAGGAGATCCGTAGAAGTGAAAGACTACTTGGAGGGACTGACACATCTGAGATCTAGCAGACAGAATGGACTAAGCATAAGAACGGAATCCATAGTGCAGACCAGCACACAACGTAAGCAAAGAGAAGATATGATGGCATCCTTACTGTCAAGGCTGCTGGATCCAAATCCATGTCGTGGATTCCTTGGTTTCATCCATGTTCATGTAATGCAAGAAACTGAGACCCACTTCTGTGTCATGAGCACGACTTGTAGTGAGCAGAAGAACACCAACTGGAAGTCGCATAGGCTTCAATGAAATATCACTCGGAAGCATATAGAAAAGATTGTTGAATCGACTCAAAACACTTACTCTTAGACTCTCTCTCTCTCTCTCTCTCTCTCTCTCTCTCTCTCTC